CAATTAGGAATAAGATTAATCAAATGTTATTTCCTTGTTAAATCCTTATGGTATCACTGTTGATGGTTCCAACCATCAAGATAGGGGAATGCATACAACAATGAAGCAACAAATTGACATGGTGGGTATAGCACTCTTGGTTCTTAAATGATAATAATCATGTGCTACTCAAGAAAGATGTAGGGTGGTGACAATCAAGTCAGTGGAGAACTCAAATAACACCTCGGACATAGATCTAAAAGTGCTCAATATCCTCTGTGTTGTCCTTAATATGAGTGTAGAACTCCCTAACCAAGTCAATATTTGCAGGCATAGGGCCCCACAAATAGCTTAGTCCACCCTCTTGAGTGAAAAATTGAAGGGACAATAGTGTTATTTACCCTCATTAGATTCACTCCTTGCTCCACTAGCACAATCTTGGAAAAAAACTATCTCCTATACAACTCTCAGGATTGTGGGGTCTATAAATGAGCTCTACGACCTGAAGCCTATACCCTCACCCTTTTCTCTCCTTTTAACATCATTTTTCCAAATAAATGGTGATATAGTATAAATCAAGATGATAATCACATATTAGAAGTTGAATTTCACCAAATCTCACTTTATATCTTGTTTAATCACAAGAAAGTGCAATGATTAGGATTGAAATTGAGTGGGTCTTTGTTTGGAAGTGAAGGAAATGTGTTTTTCCCATTAAAATCCGACTTTAAAGCTCGTTGAAGAAATTCTCGAAGTAGACCACTTGAGCGACACCTGAAGTAGATTGCTCCTTGGTTCTTTATGTTGGATAGCTCACTTCAAATTGACTCCAATGAACCTAACATGCATACATGATGTGTATACAACCTAAATGAAATTCAAATGCACATGCATGAATGAATTTGTATCTAAATCAAATGCAATTTTGAAATGGAACAATAAATGTTCAATGTTCAAAAATCATGAAAATTACATACGTTCACATTATAATATGCATCCTAGAGCAATGTTTCCTCACTTAGTTAAATTTTACTCACATGTGTTTAAATTTTGTTCAACTTGGACTTATTCAAATGCTATGCATGTGAAACCAACTCCAAAATAATTATGATTCCTCTTAGTTCAAGTCATTAATAAGCTTAACATAAAATCCTAATACATTGTCTAAGTAAATACATGACCAGTTATTGAGTGTCCTAATAATTTTTTTTTGTAACTCTTCCTTTCTTTTAGCCCTTCTACTCTATGGCTTCAATTAAAATGATGTGTCAATTCCATACTTTAACACTATGCTTTGTAACATGTATAGCATGAGCTTTATGAGCTTTACAAATAAGCAATTTGAATTAAACATAAGTACTCTCACAATTCTTCAACTACAATTGTATCTATCCATTTATTCATACCTCACCATTTTATATTTGTCCACACTAGGCTCTTTTTACACACTTGGCATTCCACATCTTTTAAGGGATTGAGGTTTAACTAACCTTTAGTCATGTGTTCACCTATCACCAACATTTAGAGTCAATTAAGATCGTAATGACTTAAACCAATTAGAGTCCTGAGTATGTAGGTGAATGGTTGTGTGTACATGGTTTTTGAATTTTTCAAAGATAAACACTATCCCGCTAGGATGAAGTAGACTTTTGCTAATGAATCATGACTAAGATGAAAGCCACAAAGTTCTCAATATCCTTATATGACTCATAGCAATGCCTGTTTCAACTTTGTTTTAAGGATAAAATCTTTATAATGCAAACCAAAGTGTGAATTACCATGATCACAAAGAAAAATAAACAAAAGAAATTGTTTATGGCTTTTTTTCCAATGTTTTTAAAATTTTCAAGTAATCATATACAAGCAAAAATATGCATAAGCATGCACTACAATAAAGGAAAGACAAAGAAATCAATTACATAAATCCTAAAAATGAAAAATGAATGTCATATTTGACATCAAAACTATGTTTGAATTTTCATATCTTCTGTTTTTTGGTTTTTCAAATTTCAATTGCTTTTTGACTTTCTTATTGAAAAAAAAATCAAAATAAACAAAGAAAAATATATACAATATATGACCTTAGGGTGCTTAATGCAATTCATTAATGAGCACACGTAGGTCCATACTCTCACCTCTCCTACTTCTTAGGAGCCATGACATTATTAGAAGAACTTGGGGCCTCCAACTTGGTTGAGATAGTGAGTTTCTCAATATCCTCCCTAGTCATCCATACTTGTTTTCCCTTTCTAAAGCTCAGGTTAGGTTGGGAAATGGGGGAGCACTAACTCTCTTCTCCCCAGATGTGTGTAGATTAACCTTGATCTCGGAGGTAGAAAGAGATTTGTGCACTCAAGCATGTGGTCCATTAGAATAATCCAATGCATGACTATGCTTGGACTCACAAGACCTCTCTAAAAGCCTAGAAATATTTACAACTTGATTGTTTAAGACTTTTAATTGGTTGGCTAGATGCATAAATTTTTTATCCAAGACGTCCCTATTATGAACATAATGTACACTATAGTGACCATTCTCTCCACAAGCAAAACACAAAAATGATTTGGTTTGGGTTTCCTTTTTAACCGACTTCTTTTTATGCTTATCCTTACCATTTTTAGTCTTTTTTGGGATGTAGTGCTGGTGGGTTTCTCATTGGAACAACCTATGCCTTCTTGTACCCACAATTTTTAGTCTATGATCATGATGCTATCAAGTTGAAGACTCAAAATCATCATTGAAGGGAGAAGATCAAACTTCAATGCAACATCATTCAAATTCCATATGGACCTTCATACACAGGGCAAATGTAATGACCTAGACACCTAAGATGGACCCCTAGTTATTTTAACTTAGGATGATTAGGATAAAAATAAAATTTGAAGAAATCCGAGTATGGCTCCTAGGTGGTTTGAGAAGAAATTTTTTTTCAAATAATTTTGTATTTTGAAAACATATATTGAGCCATTATCAGACCATTCTTGAGCAACACTCTTTACTGCTCAGGAAGACAAGTTTTTTTGCTTGGTTTGATGCTTTAAAAATTGGTAGGGACCGATCTATACTCACTAGCTTTCAGTAGAGCAGTCTAATTCCACCGATTAGACTATTACTAACAAATTTGAGTTTTCTTATTTATCAAGAGTACCCTTATTCTGAACCTATAAATAGGGAGACCCTTTCCCACAGCTAGGTTAAACCTCTTATGAGATTTCTAAGAGAAAAAATTTAATTTATACCTTGAGAGCTTCCACCACTGAACTAGACCCCTAAGATCCAAGGCTACCACTAGTGATTCCTATGCAACCTCACAACTTGGAGAAAAAGAACTTGTGTTGGATGAAGACCAAATGCATTGAAGTGTGTAAAACGAGAGTCTTGGGTGTGAAGGCTTGAAGATTGTAAAGGAAACATGCTGCAGGGAGTTCAAGTGAAGCTAGCCATAACATCAAAAGAGGGCCTTCGGTGGAGAGATCTACAAAGAAAATGAGCATCTAGCCATGTGGATTGGTTGAGGTATAAGACTCGAGTACTTATAGATTGACTTTTGGCTTAGTGGATTAGGCTTCAGTCAACCGCAAATGCTCTCCTGTAAATAACCTAGTCTAGCCAAAGAGTGGGGGGGATCAATTCATTGATCAAAAAGCTCTTTAGACATTTCTTCTACTAGGTTTAGAATTAAGGTTTCTCATTTTCAAGAGTTTTCTCCATTATTTTCTATTCCAAGCTTTGTTCTACATTTAGTCTTCAAATTCTTGCAAGTCGATTACTTTCAAAATTCTTTATTGTTAACGATTTACATTATATGTAATTTAATTCAAGGTAGTTTCTTTTTAGTTCAATTTGAATTTCAAGATTTTTCTGCTTTCAATTACAATCATGTTTTCTTCAATCGCTTTCATTTTTAATTTCATTTGAGTGAATAGTCGTACTCTGGTTTGAGAACCATATGGGAGTTTCATCCTTCAATGGAGTTTTTGACTCAATTAGATTTTTTCTAAACATTAAGTATTTGGTTTTTTGAATGATTAAAGTTGAAAACTCATTTGATATGTATATCTTCTTGCTTACCCGTAGACAATTAAGTCTGGCACGGGTAATTCTTGAAATCACGAAGTGAATATAATTCTTTTAAAATTTGATTAATCAACTTAAATACACATTTTTTGATTTCATTTGAGTTGTAATTGAATGTTTATCACTTGAGTGAGTTTGAGTACGATCTCGAGTCAGTTATCAAATTGGGTCAAAATAACTATTCATGGTGAGATGAACTTAGCTGATTAACCAGTCTTTTCTTTAATTGTTATTTTTTAGTGATAAATTCTACAACCAATCTTCCAAACATTTAGAGTTTTTTTTTTACTTTTCTTCGCCTATCACCCTTTGAACCATTTGTTTTTCCCGAGGAGATGACCTCGATAATCGATCGAGTTACAAAGGCGATACATTCCTACATTTGGCAAACCTTTGTTATTTAACCCACCTTTGAGACACAAGCAATTTACAATTCATTTTTTTAATGGTTTTTGGGTTGTAATTTTAATTCTTACTTTTTTATTTTGTCACAAAATTGCCACATATTATAATTGGTCAATTTCATGGAGTCCATTGTAAATGTCAACATTTTTCATAGTCATGGTGCTATAAAGTTTATGATCCAAAAACGTCATTGAAGGGAGGAGATCAAGCGTCAAAGTAACATTATTCAAACTACGTATATTCCTTCATGCTTAGGACAAAGGAAATGCTCTAGACACCTAAGATGAACCCTTAGTTATCTTAACTTAGGATGATTAGGATAAAAATGAAATTTGAAGAAATATGAGTATGGCCCCTAGATGTTTTGAAAACAAAATTTTTTCTATACAATTTTGTGTTTTGAAAGTATAGATTGAGTCATTATCAGACCCCTCTTGACCAACACTAACGGTTAGGTCACATGAACTATATAAGGACCTAAATTGAATAATGAGCAAGGAGCTTATAAAGGGAATGCCTAAGTTAAGTAAGTAGTTTACCAAGATTTGTGATCCATGTCCAACAAGAGAAGGTGCTCTCCTTGAGTGGTCGGGTCAACTCAAGTGAAGAGGAGATGAGAGCCTTTATATTGGACTTGGTGAAGTCTGAGGCACAAATTTGTGGCCCAGAAATAAGAACAAGTCTTTCCTTGATCGATTGAGGTTTCTTGAGAGAAAGCATCACGAGCTTGTCAAGTGTAAGAAGTATCTTAGTTAAAATGTCCCAAACTTCATAAAAATCTCCATGAATCAAATGAACTCTAATAGACTTCCGCAAAGTAATGAAAAGTTTGATAGAATTTTGTCTATGGGAAAGAGTGTAGGTGCTAAGTGTGGTTTAGACTACACAAATGGACACAACCACACTTCTTCCAAGGCCATGTTTGTGAAGGGTATCAGCAACATATCACCCCCACAAGTCGGCAAAAGTACCAAAAATGCTAATAGTGACATGCGCAGACATTCAAAGAAGAAGGTTGTTCATAAAACCCAAGTTAATCATGATATGCGTTATACTTGTGGAGAGCATGGTCATCATAGTAAACATTGCATGAAAAAATAGGTATGTCTTGAACAAGAACCTTGTGCATCTAGTAAATCAATCCAAAGCCTTGAATTCTCAAGTCTTTAAAATTTTGTAAACTTTTGGAAAGGTCATGTGTGTTCGAGCAACATCATGCATCATTATCACTGATTTGATCTCTATCATGCACACCCAAGTATAAATGGTCAAGTTTTAATATATCTTGGTAGAGTCTGCGGTCAATTACGAATGGAGTTAGTTGTGTAACTTCAAATAGAAAAAGGTGAACGAAACCTAGAGAAAGATTGTTGAAAAGGGGATTTTTGGTGTGTGCTACATGATTGAAAAATAGAATGCTTAAAAAAATACTGTTTACTTGCAATAGATTAAAAAGGCGCTTGTTAGTTTGGGGATAAGAAACATGCATTCCATTGCTTGAGTTCATGATAGTGCTAACATACCACAATTAACTCTCGTGTCATTGGTTAGTTAAACAGAAAGTTTTGCATATCAAACCATAACACAGTAACCATCGGGTTTAGCAGAAGTTCTATGCATCAAACAACAACAAATTATCCTAGCAAACCAGATGGAGCAAATCACCATTCATGAGTTTACCTTGGCAATTAATCGAGAGGTTTATGATTCAATGAAGTACATAGCTCTGGATTATGCTTAGAATCAAAAGCATTGGATATGACAAGACTGAACCGTCTATACCCAATCTCCCAATCTTTACATAAAGTCCAGCTTAGTAAGCATTAAATCATGCATAGTACATGAAATATTAATGAGGGAATGGAAATGAAAATGAAACCTAGATCGGTATTTGCATTGACCATGAGCATAACCCAAGTTATACAATAGTATGCAAAATACAAAAACATTAAAGAAGATACCATCCATCATTTAAGGGAGGCATAAACTTAAAGCATAAAGAATAAAATTCCACTTTCGTTACTCAAGAATATTACACATGTCTTCACCCTTCACTAAAGAGCAAATGAGAAACTACCTACTCTTCATACCTATGGACCAACTAGAAAAATGGGAGAACCTCATTCCTCTAAGTGAGATATAGTCTTCAAAATATAAAAGCAGAAAGATGAAACTATTCCCCAATGTGTAATTGAAACATCCCCATTCTTCTTAACCAAGGAGAGGTTATGAAAAGTGAGAGACGTTCGACTCTCCAAGTAGAAAGAGTAACAACAGAAATGTAGAAAAGAGAGTGTGTCTAGCAGTTATTTAGCAGAGGAATTCTTCAAAGGATGGTGAATGAATAAAACTAGCACGGGGTATTTATAGAACTCCATGGGCGGAAGCTGGTGGCAGCATGGGCCAATAGGAGGTGAGCTTGGTTGACTTGGAGGAGAAGCAAAGGCAAAACTATATTTACTATCGTCCAGATGCTAGCCGCCACCGTCTAGATGGTGGTAATCTGTTGGAAATCCTCCATTTTTGGCTTTTTGCCTTGGATTCTAGCCTATTGTTACATCTGGATGGTGGAGCACCGTTCAAACGGTGGCAGCTTCCTTGAAATTTCCTATTTTTTGCTCTTTGGTCCTTTGACTTTTAACCTATTAACTTATTTAATGGATATAATTAACCCATAAACATGTATGGAAAATATAGCTGTTTAGGGTTAATTAATGACAAGGACCACAATCTAGAGTGCACAAGGCTACTTCTACCCCAATGGTCAAGATTGATCTACACACCTCCAAAAAGAAGACAACTAATCCTCCACCCATTCTCTAACATAACCCAAGTTTTAGGAAGTGAAGACGAGTTTGGTTGACCAAGGAGGACCTTGAAAAACTACCATCTCAACTAAGTTAGAGTCCCCAAGTGCTTCTAGTAAGTTCATGGCCCCTAAGAAGTAGCAGAGGTGAGAGTCTGGGCCTAGGTGATCTTGTATACATTTCATCAAGCACCCTAGGGTCATATATGTGTACATATTTTTTGTTGTTGTTTTTGTTATTGTTATTGTTATTTGGTCATTTATTTTTCTATATGAAAATTCAAAAATATTTGAAATTTGAAAAATCAAAAAAAGAGAAATAGAAAAATTCAAAACAAGTTTTGATGTCAAATTTTACATTCATTTTAGGATTTATGGTAATTGGCTTATTTTTGCATGTCTTTGTTTTGATTGCATCTTTATGCATATTTTTCTTGTATATTTTTATCTTAAAAAAATTCAAAAACACTGAAAAAGAAAAAAGCAAAAATATTTTTTTATTTAATTTTCATTTGTTCATGATCATCATAAATTCAGACTTTGATTTGGATTGAAATTGTTCAAATTTTAAGTAAATGTTGAAATATGCATTGCTATGATTCATAGGAGGAAATAGAGAACTCAATGGCATAAATATGATTACATGATTCATTAGCCAAAATCTATTTCATCCTAGCATGCTTGGATAGTATTTACTTTTGAAAGATTCAAAACCAAGTACATCTTGCATACTTTTACCAGTGTAGACACATGCTTTCGTTGTTAAAGCTTCAATTGCTACCTCAATTTCATGGTGTGGATAGAGAGAACATTCATCTTCACATCAAAGCATTTGAGGAAGTGTTTATGACATTACTTGACTAGAATGTACAAGAGAAAATTACCCGAATAAAATTGTTTCCATTTTCTCTAAAGGAAAAGTAAAAATCCTAGTTGAATTCCTTGCAACCCCAATCAAGAGCGGTAAGACCCTGTACTAGAATTAATATTTCTCCTAGGATGAATAAAAAATTGTAGAAACCTTGAATCGTTGTTGAAAGATTGATCATCAAGTTTGAGTTTTGAGTAAATTGACTTTCGGGTCAAACTTAGTTTCGAAAGTATTTAAGTTTGAGAAGGGCAGTTAGGTAAGTTTTTGGATGTTTTTAGGTAAAAATAAGGCCACTGGTGAATTCGGAAGGTTGAGAAAGCTTGAGAGAGGTAATATGAGATGTATTAGAAGTTAGGAAGTATTCCGGAATTAAAACCTATTTTAGATAGAATTTGGGTAGAAAGGAATTTGATACTACCTTAGTATTTTGGCCATAACTTATTACTCCTAACTCCGATTGAGTTGATTTTTGGACAATAGAATCTAGACTTAAGGAGTACAAAAGTGTATTTCACAAACGTCTCTGGACAAAAATAGACATGCGTTCAGACACATTTGGCAGAAAGTTGGGCAAAAAGATACTTGTCTAGAAAGTAAAAGACATGCATCCAAACTCACCGAGTAGAGGGTTGCATGTCCTGACGTGTTTGGGGTGTTTTGTCCAATTTTTACATTATAAATACCTAGAAAACGACCCTTAGGCTTAGTTCGTCAATTTTTCATTGTAGAAAACCCTAGAGGGTGAGAAACAAGGAGAGCAAGAGCACTTCTTAAAGGGATTTTTGTCTAGAAGAAGAATAGAACACGCTAGGGTTTGCATCACAAACTACATAATCGAGGTAGGTGATTCTTCTTGAGTTCTTTCAATGAGATTTAGGGTATTATATATGTATGTTTTCATTCTTCTTGATAGTTATATGATAAATACTTATGAGTTCTTAATTTCTTTCTCATTGAAACATAGTTTTGAACAAAATAAATTTCTGGGTTCAAGCAATATTTGTTCTTGAATTTCCAAAACCCTAGTTTTGATAAATACATGTTTGATTGTGAAAAATATAAGGATTCTTGGTTTGTAAATTCCTATTCTTGATTAAATTAGTTGTTTTGTTCTCAAGAAATTATGATTTTTTGGCAAAATCCTAAAATTTTGATATCGAAATTGTTAAGGTTTTCTTGATATGATCTGATACATATTTTAATTCATTTATTACTGTACTATATTGATAATTGTGAAATTGTGACACTTGAGTTTTAATTGAAATTGTGATTGGTTAAGATTGCACTTCTTGAGAGAGTTGTGGTTTCATTTCTTGTATTGTTTGGGTGTGACGTACTTAAATTGCCATTGAGAGCTGCCATAGAGTGTTAGAGGTTAGTCTAATGGTTGTCTAACACTTGTAGTGAATTGTTATTTATGAGAGTAACCACTATTGTTCACGTAAGTTCGAGGCTGAGAGATGATATACTTTTCCTACTAATGATTCGTCAATGTCGTGAAAAACAATATACGTCCTTCCTAAAGTAATTTGTGATTTAGCCCTACGGGGAATGACTGAGATTGTCTGGTTGTTGTGTGTGAACGAGGTAGAGGTAGAATCGTTGTGTAGATTTCTAAGAAACAATCAACATACATGAGAATATGGGATGATGCTACTGAGTTATTTATTGATTATTTTAATTTATTGCATAGTTATTCCTGTCATTGTTTTATGGAATTATGTACATTAGAGATCATTACAACTGTCATAGTTTTACTCTCAAAAATTTATATATGTTATTTTCTAAAAGAAAATTGTCTTTTTTTATTTTTTTAAAACTTTGTTTGGATTTGAGAGGGATTTTCCTATGGGCTTTTGCTCACCCCTACAACACATTTACAGATTTGGGTAGAAAGGAAGATGTCAAATTAGATGATCAAGTCGACCTCGAGACTGGAGGGGGTTAGTATAAGGATCTTAAAGTGGAGGCTTAGAGATGCTTTGTTTTAGTTTAGATTATTTTATTTGAGAAATTTGTATGAAACAATATTTCAGCTAATTT